ATCCTATCCTTCGCCTGAAATGCCAGCTGTGGTTCCGAAACTAAATAGATGACAGGGTTTCTATTACAGTTAATTAAATAAAGGAGCTTATACGATAATACATATGTATATTGAATAAAAGCTTTTGGTACATAACACTAAAACAGCGCTCCGGAAAGCAGCATAAAGAAAAAGAAAAAACAAGCGAAAATTCCGGAAAGGGCACTTTAAAAATTGTATCTTATATTGATAAGCTTTGACTATTTACTTTTTTCAAATTAATTACCTATATACAGTGGGCGTCAAAAATTAGTATACCCTGACGTTTACCGATTTTGTTTATTAATATTTTCCATACGAAACTTTTTTTTATCTTCTTATAAAAACATATGGAAAATATTATAATATTTTGGCAGAAGTCTTAAAATTTAATAAATCTTATGATTCCGGTGGAAAACCGCATTTTTTTGATATTGCGCCGTAATGCATATATATATGCTAGTATACGTTACAAAAAGCGGTTAATTTTGAGCAATTTTTTTCGACGCTGCTGTGTATTTTGTTCCCTATAAAAACAAACCTCCCATGGAAAAAAAATTATTTACACCGTCAACAAAAAAATTGCCAAAAATCAACTTTATTTTGTGGCCACTTCCAACTTGCACTTATTGTACAAAAATTGTGCTACAAAACGGCATACATACTCAAAATCTTTCTAAGAAATCTAATTAAACAGCTTGATATTTTTTCGAAAGTTACTTGAATTTTTTTTAATATTGCACAGAGTTTGAAATTTCTTACCATCGCTGTCTTAACATTTTAATTTAATTTAATTGACAAGATAAATTAAATATTGCAATATGGGTATCAAATTAAAGAGGCTTAAGAATGTTTACTGTTGCAAATATGTTTGAAGCGGGTTGCCACCTATTTGAAAAATTTAATTCAGTTAAATATTGAATTAGTTCCCCTTTGCAGAAAGTGCGCGATATTTAGACTCGAGTTATAGGACTATAAATTAAATTTTCATGAGAAAGTCTATACTTTACCTACTTTATAAGTACCTTCGAAAATGTATTAACTATAATAACTAACACCCACATTTGTTGAAAATCTCACATCATAAGCTCTTTAAATCTATTTCGTTTTGTATTTTTTTGGAATGAGGCCATAAGTGTTTTGGGAGAGAGTAATAACGCAAAAATACTTTTAAGGCGCAGCGAAGCACGCCGGGTATTTGCTAGTATTAAATAAAGAAAAGAAAAATAGCCCATGTGTGAATGTATGTACTTAAATAAAGTAGGCGCCAATGACAAATCCATCTGCGAATATTGTCATACCATCATCTTACAAAGATAGAATATGTACTTCGAGGGCAACAACATTAGCATACAAAAGCAACAAAAAAGTATGCTGAGCATACATTTTCCTCTATCTACAGCTTTGTGTACATTTTTTAAGTATATCTATGTAGTGTTGTAGGTATACTAAAAGTCTAATTAAGTCTGTTCTAACATCTAAAATACCATAAAATTCAATTATTAATTTATAGTTATTTATATTTTCTTTGTGTTTTTGTTTGCCCACTTAGTTAACCACTTCAAAATTCCATAAGCTACCCCGCCAACATACAAACGAATAGCCGTCACCGTGGCTAAGGGAAATCGAAATTCGTACACCTCCACACCAACAGTTGCCATCAGCAGCAAAAACCGTAAAATGGCATCTACCGGCGATATTTGGCTACAATGGTTCTCCTGCTGTTTCCATCAACCGCAATCACCGTCACGACGACGTCATCAACGCCTGCGCATCGATCGCTCGATGATCGGTAATCCCACAAATTTCGTACACACTGGACATATCGGTTCTGCCGACGTAGAATTATCGACAAATCATCTGAATGCGTTGCAAACGCAAATGCAAAGCAAAGGTGGCTACGAAATGAATTCGATACGATTGCAGGTGAGTGAAGCGGAATGGGTGATGGACTTAATAAATGTATGTACGTACACTTGCGGTCAGCTAATTAAGCCAGCAACATTTTCATAAATTTTGGCTATTTTTCTTTTGTTTATTTAATGTTTATTATTTTTTCATAAAAGTCTAGCTGATTATATAACAAACACCACTTAAATCCACATTTCAAACTTCGTGCAAAAAATATAAAAAAATCTGCCAAGTTTCATTAATAGTAGATAGTTTACCTTGACAACTGCAATTATTATATGATTTTATTATATTTTAAGACGTCCACCAAATATTTCGGAAAAATATTAAGCTCGCTTAGAGGTGGACCGATTTGAAAATACCTTGAAAAATGGAGTTTTTTATGAATAAAAATAGTTTCGTGAAGAACTTTTTGAAAAAAGTCCCCTCAGATGGCAAAACAGATAAGGATTAAAAAATCTCTATAAAAATATTTTCGAAATATTTTGGTGGACGTCTTAAAATATAATAGATTTCATAATTCCAATGGAAAAACGTTTTCGATTTTTTTTTTGTATGGAAGGTGATGCAGTCTAATGTACATACATACATGCCTAGACATCTACAAGCATATTAATTATTTTTTAATCTGTTTTTTCCTACAGGCCTGCTGATGCTAATGGACGCTGCCGAAGCTTCTCATTCACTTGCGGCACAATACCCTTAGCTTGGGGTTTACGAACATCACTGAAACAGAAGGATATTAGACCAATCAGCGCAGTGCAATCATTTGAATCTCACGTATACTTCATAGCTACTTAAAAGCAGTTAAAATAGTATGCCCGCAATGATTTATGTTACGAGTAATCAATTAAAATTTGTATATTTTCGCAAATTGTTTGTAAGTAATGTAAGACTTTGGAAAACAAAATTGTATTTGAGTATTTAAATCATTTAACTTAACTACTGCCTTGTGAATTTGAGCGAATACTGTATACTTAGCTACAGATGTGTATACACACATGCATATATGTATTATTTGGTAATTGCACAAAAGGCGGTATTAAGTGGCATGTGTACTATGCAGTAGTCTGAGGTGAGCGAGTACATAGAAAAATGCAAAACATTTGAAAATTTTTTCAATAAAATTTTTTGTTCATTTTTCTTTCATCTTAACAAATTGACTATATACGAATACTTTTATAAAAAAAGATAATAAAAGATATATACAAGTTTTTGCAATGTTTGTAAAAAAATATATATGTATGTACTAATATAAATTCTTTTTAAAGTATGTAAGTGGAGTATATAAGAGATTATGTACATATGTGCCTTTATTTTTAAATCAAATCCTTTTTTTTTAATTTTTTGAGCGGAGATACATATGTAATTTTGAGCACTAATTCTTATACCTTTGGAACAATTTTTTCGTTTATGCAAGCAATTCATTAAGAATTTCGAATAACCCAAAGCAAATCGAAATGTATTTATAATTTAAGGTTATGTTAATTGAACATTTTATTTTGCACTAATTTGTGTACTTAACATTTTAGAACTTACTGCATTTTTTTTTGTGTTTTTTTTTTTCGAATACAGTTGCAGCAAATCTGTACATGAGGTCGCGGATTCAGTTTCTTTAACGCACATTTTGCGTTATTTTTTTAACTACATAAATGCATAGCATTTTGAATTTTTTTTTGATAGAGCCAAAACTTTAAATGAATTGAACTGAAAGCATTTCTTTTAACTTTTATACAAACACACATACACTTAATAGAGAGGATAACAAAAATAACTACAACAAATATGAAAATATCTAATTGAGTTAACTGAAGTTGATGTTGAACTTGAAAAAATAATGCATTTAAACGCACAATCAATTATACAGAAATCGTAGTGAATACCGTTAAGAGCAGTGCATCTGCATGAATTTTCATGTGTGCATTTATTTGCTACGACAAATAACTATTTATACCTATATATTTATTATGAGCTAATAACACTTTTAAAAACAAAGTAAACAAATAAACAAAATACGTATTAACTTTAGTTTAGTTTTGTCTCGCGGAAAATTGTGTAAGCATTTAAAATGATTTAAAAAAAAAAAAACTTGATGGTAAAAAATTAGTAAATATGTAAACATTACATTGTATAAGTTTGCAAATTAAAAAATGAGACCACAAGATAAATGTATGTAAGTAAAAAAATCTCCGAATAATTTACATCTAAAAAAATAACTCCCATAAGGGAGTGCAGTTTAAGAATCGATTATGAATTGTTTGGACTCGAAAGTATGCAATAAAAAATGTATATCTTAATGAATGCTAATAAACCGATTTATTAGAATTTGAAAAAAAACACGTCTTTATTTTTTGCTTTTCTTATTCTCAATCCTTAGAAAAGCTAAAAAGGTACTTTTCGTTAGTTAAAACTCCCTAAAAAATGACAGAAGCAGTATAACCCTATCTATCTGCAATGAAACGAAGCCATTCATTGGCGGGAGCTGGTGCAGGTGGTGATGGTTTCTCAGCGAATGCCGTTAATTGTCTGTAAAGCGTCGTCGAATACAGTAGTTGTTGTTTTTAGCCCTGAATCGTCTCCTTCAGCTCTGAACTGAATTGCCAATTGCTATTGTGTGCACAGCGAAAAAAGCGGCTGTCAAAAGTGACGTGATTTATCCCACCAACAGGGCCTTGTTAAGTTCAGGTAGTAAAGATGGTTCCCGATAATTTCGTGGGGAAAAGGGTTCATTGTAGTAAAAAACGAAGCTAGTGAGGGCAAATAGCCGTTTACTTCGAGCATATGTCATCAATGCCATCATCTGCGCATGAAGTCAGAGGATTGCCAGACCCAAGAAAGTGCTATTACGAAGAGGGCGGTTTAGAAGGAGATGGGTGTTAGTTGACCTGCACGATCCTCTCATAGAGGACGGTTGCCGTTAAGGCCCTGAGTTATCTCAGGAATGACGAGAAGTCATCGATAAGATGAGAACCCAAAGACCGCAAGTGTGGTATGAGTTCCTCGCCAATAAATAAATTCTATCATTAGTTTGTTTATTGGAATGAAATTCGCCTATTTGAAACAGCAATAAATACACATATCTGTACACTACATTTCTTTATTTATTAGTTTCATTATGTCCAGTGCATGCTTATACAAGCAAGTATCCAATTAAAATCGTAACAATACCGAAAGTTTTTGCAAACTACACATTTCACATTTGCACATTGTCCAACACGACGAACTCTTTGTTTGCAATACAGTAGTCGTACATACACACATACATAAACATACAATATTATTTATTCATTTGTTGTTTACTCATTATTGTCACTGCCACTGCCACTTCCACTGGCACTACCAGCGCCCCCGTCAGGCTTACTGCCACCTTCTTCACCGCCGCTACCGCTGCCGCTGCCACTGGCACTGCCACTACCCTCGCTGTCGCTGCCGCTACCGCTGCCGCCACCACTACCCTTGCGGCTCGCCTGCTCCCGCTCCTCATCCGATTCGCTGTCAGAGTCACGCAACGCTTTTACCGATTTGGACTTGTCAGTCTTCTTGCTGCGACGCCCCTCGAAGTCAGAGCCATCGTCCTCATCTGACGAGTAAATGGCCGAACCCTTTTGCTCGGATGTAATCGATGGCGCGGCACCACCACCACCACCACTCCCCTTCTTATACTTATTCTTAATAGCGCTGAGCGAAATGGCATTTTCATCGTCGCTGCCTTCGTCGTGTTGATACGATGAATTAGCGCCACTATGTGCATCGTGTGCACCACCTTTCTTTTTCTTCGGCTGCGGCTTTGATTGTGTGCGCATGGCTTGACGCAGTTTTTCTTCTTCCTTTTTGAGATTGAACTTACGATCGGTGGTTGGATCTTTGCCAACTTGTGTGAGAATTTTAATACCGCTGGTCTTTTGCGAACGATCGGCCAAGGACATTGTCATTTTCTTGTGTGTAAATGATTCGGTTGAGTGCGGTCGGAAGGTGAGTTTAGTACGGAAGACCGCCTGGCCTTGCAAACCTGTACCCTGGCGGATGAACATGTGATTGTGATCGCCATGTAATGGCTGTCGATAAACATCAAAAGTTTCATTGCCCAGGTGCAAAGTCATGCTACCGTCTGACCAGCGCACAAAACGCGCATTTGATTCTTTCACCATGTCTCCGTTGTTGGCCATATATTCCCGCCAACGTATGGTGTTACTCACTTTCAATTTGATACGCTGGCGACCTTCTTCGTCCATGGTTTCTTCCTCGTCAATTTCATCTTCGTACGTTTCTGTGTCAAAAGGACGCGTATCAACCGAAAGAAAGTTGGGAAGCTTAACGAAATGTATTTCCTTGCCCAAATCCGTTACAATGCGCGGAATTTCTACATCGATTCGGGTTTCGGGTATTGGTTCAGGTTCGTCCTCCTTCTGCTGCGGCTCCACAACACGGGCTGGACTTCTTGAACGAGAACGCGAACGTGATGAGCGAGAACGTGATCGAGAGCGTGAACCCGATGCTGAGCGACGTGAGCCACTGCGTGTGCTTGATTTAGACTTGGAGCGTGAGCGTGTGCGCGAACGGCTCTTGCGTGAAGCTACATCGGATTTTTGACCCTCATCCTCGGATAAACTAATATCATCGGCATCGCCAAAAATATCAGTTGCGTCAATCTTTTGCGATTGCTGAAAGTGAAAAAAGCGAATTTAAAACAACAAAATAATAATATGGAATTTCAACTCAAACCTCTTCGTTTTCGCTGTCTGAATCAATTATGCGTGCCTTTTTTGCCTTTGCGACGGCACCACCATCACTTTCTTCACCACTACCTCGTTTTTGCTGACCACCTTCAGTCTCGGACTCACTTGAGGCAGCTGCTTTACGCTTCTTACGGGCACCAAAATCGCTACCAGATTCCGAACCACTGGCCGGCTTGGCAGATTTGCGGGATACTGGTGTACCCGATTTTGACCGTGAGCCGGAATGAGAACGCGATCGAGAACGTGATCTTGAACCACTCCTAGAACGGGAACGTGAACGTGAACCTGAACCTGATCCAGAACGGGAAGAGCCCCCAGATTTGGAACGAGGTGTGCCAGAACGTGAGCGATGACTTTGACTACGAGAACGTGAGCGTGAATTAGCACGATCATCAATCTGCAAATTAGGTGATTGCGAACGTGTATCCTCATCGTTGGGCGTTTGATTGGCCGGTGTAGTAGCATTGGGTTTTGAAGAAGATTCTTGGGCTATGGGCGATGGGCCACGGCTGGCGACAGGCGTTTGATCAAGACTTGCTGTTGGTGATGCATTGCGGCTGGCGACAGGCGTATGTTCACTTCCTACTGGTGACGGTTCTCGACTTGCTGCTGGTGATTGTTCTCGACTTCCGGCAATTGAATGTGGGCGGCTCGCCGCGCGCGATTTTGAGCGGCTTGCCGCGCGTGATTGTGAGCGGCTCGCTGCGCGCGATTGTGAGCGGCTTGCTGCGCGTGATTGTGAGCGGCTCGGCGCACGCGA